TGATAACCCACTTGACTATTCTCCGCTAATTAAATTTTTTATCCCGGCCAATTGATTAAGGCGCTTGAGAGCACCCTAAGTATCTAATTATGTGGGAAAATGCAACAATAACTAAATAACAATGCAGTATTGGACTTCATTACGTAGTAGCTTGAGCAGATTAGACCATAACCAGGTAATCAGTCGATACTGTGACTGTTAGCCAGTATTAAAAAGCGAATACATTTCACCGTTAAGGATAAAGTATTATTTTCTTTTATTTGCTAATTCATGATTATTTTCAGTGTCTTTAACAGAAGGGCTCTTATCGGCGAAAATTCCAATTTGTATTTGAATTGAATGCTATAGCACATACTCAATAAGGTATTATTGATTATTGGCCCGGGTTGATTGATAATTTTATTCTCGTTTCAAATCATTAGCCCTTGCTTCTATCAATTTCTGTTGATTCGCTGAAAATGCTGCTGATTTCGACTGTCTTGAGTAAATTCACTTATCAAATGGAAGCTACTTAACTGATAAGAAAGGTTTTTATTTTCCCAAACACTGCTAGACCTTTGAAGGAAACTTTGTCGAAAAAGTTTTGATCCTGATTTTTTAGATGTGAGAAACCTTCGCTTCTATGATTATTTTCATTATTATATAAATATACATTTCCGATGTAACTATAGACCAAACGTATCAATTTATTTAACAATCTTAATCGCTAAACCATTCTTAGGTTCTCAATTTGAAAATGAAAACGAATTCTAATAATCATAACATTGATTTAATTTTAATCTGACTGGTTTTTGAGTTTGATACTATTGACCGAAAATGAAACATATACTTGGGTTTGGTTATGATCCAAAATGAAATAGAAATCCCGATTCAAAACCCAAACTATGTAATATTCAAAAAAAGGTTTGGGTCGTAACCCCAGTTTCAAGCCCATCTTCGTCTAAGTCCATTAGATCTAATGGAATGGATTTTTGGCCATCACCTGTATATGATGGTATATATTCTTCGCATTGAATTGCGAGTTCGGCCTCATAATCATCTAACGTCGATTCTAGAAGTTAAATATTAGCATAGATAAAAAATTCCAATACTTTGAGATGCCATATAAATTATTGCATAAGCACCTTGCATAATTTCTTGTAATAATTCGTCATCTATCATATCTTCAACGGCATCAAGATTGTCGTCGTTCCAAAAAATCTTCCATTCTTCAAGGATTTTTTTTACAAACCATCGTTGCGCAACCTTTAATAAAATTAAATATAACATTAAACGTTTGCGATTTGTAGGCTAAACTGAAATACACGGAGCTTTGGGAGTACTTCATCTTCGTCGTCTGTATCGTTTTGATTGGCAATTTTCCAAAATTCTAGCCTTCGATCGTTAAAAGCAAATGTTCGACTTTCTTTAACTCGTCGTAAACACTGTTGCTTAAATTTCTCTCGCCACAAACGTTTTGATTCTGATTTAATAAAAATTCGACGTGGATGTTCTGATTTCTGATGCGTGGAGGAAGAAAATGTCTTTGAAAAAGACATTTTCTGCGCATAGAAGTAACGTATTATGTTACGACAAAAAAGTTTTTGCAAATTACTATGAGACGCGTATTTATTTTTTGCCACATATATTCGTCACAGATAGCCAATCACATGCCTTAATCGGTGTTTTATATCGGCATTTGTAATGCTGAGTAAAAATCCGATTTTTAATCATGCTTACACGAATGATTTTAGTGGCAAACTTGTTAACTATTTTATTGATTCTATTGCATAATAAAAGGTATATATAGTCTAATCAGTATGGTTAGAGTACATTGCCATTTACGTATCGGTTCAGACCAGAGCACAAAATCTATTGTAAATGCCGTTTCGTCATGACAATTTCTGCCTTGACTTTTCATCAGTCGGAAAATTCCGAATATAAATATTAAAAAACTGCTACATCCGGCTGAGTTTTTAAAATAAGCACCGCCGGAGAAAAAGCAGCTTCCGGCATTCGGAAATTTTGTGTCCTGATTCAGACTAATAAAGTATCTTATGTAATCTAAATAGTAGAACCGATTACTTATACACTGGGGTGGTCGGTCAACTAATCAAATCAAACTTATATGTAGACCCATAATAAAAACAATTAAGCAATTTTTTAATACTAATGTATTGTTACACGAATGAATATCATTTTTTAATAGGAATTTATTATACGAAAGTGATAGATTTTTGAAATCTATCTCCTCTCGCAGTATTAATTCTTCAAATTTAAGAATAATATGAAACGGATTAAAAAGGCTTACTCTTTAATTTGTCG